ATTTCCTTCAAAGCAGCTTGAACTTCTTCCTTCATCACCATAGGCTCTTGCTCAAATGCTATTTCATCGAATTCTTCTGAATCTGCCAATTCCTTTCTATACAATGACTCAGTATATTCCTTCCATCTTCTTTTGATACCTCCTGGATCATTTACATACTTTAGCTTCTCTTATTAACTACACAAAGACATTTGTCTGTGTAAATATAAACAAATTAGAGATGACACTAAAAATAATGAGAAATCTAGAACATTTAATTGTGCTTATGTATAAGCTATATATTAATCAAGAAAGAGTTCTGATAGAATTAGAGAGCATTGTTTATTTTAAAACTAGGAAAGCTATGAAGAAGAGTTGTACACTCACCTACCCCCAAATAGTATGCTGAGAAAATCATATGAGAAACCGAAGCATGTCATATCAGAGTAGAAGGAAGATTATTAACAATCTGTGCAATGCAGGTGATACAACTTTCCTTCAAGAAAGTAGAGAATACTTAAAGTATGTACTGAAGAAGAAAAAGAAATACACCTTTCAATTTAGATTGCATTTCAACAAAATTTAAACAAAAATCATCACCATGCTCTTCCCATGAGCAGCCTCAGGTAAACTCCCAAAATTTTTTGCCACTTACTTGGTCTGGAAAATAAAAAAAAAAAAAATATCATGCAAATCAAGAGGATCGAATATCTGGGGCCATTGTAAAAACTCTAGCAAATTCCCATCCAATCAACAGTATGCATATGTAGAAAACCGTCAAGCATCTGAAAGATGTCACTTTGCAAAAACAGTGTGTGCCATTCTGATGTAACAATGGTGGAGGTGGTAGTTGTGCCCAGGCTAAATAGTGGGGTTGGGCACACGGTCAGTGGTCCAAAAAGAATGCTAAACTTTTGATGCATTATTTTTTTTAAAAAAATGGAAAAAGAAGGAAGACATCTGTAGATATACTATGAAACATGGATAACTCTAATACCAAAACCAGGTAAAGATATTACCAAGAAAGAAAACTACAGATAAATATCTCTCATTAATATAAATGTAAAAATCCGCCCCTCCCCTTGCGCGGCGGCCTTGCCGTGCCGGCCAGCCAGCCTGGCTCCCCTCCCCGGCCCCGACGGGCAGGCGGGCTGCCCTGAGGAGGCGGGGAGGGGAGAGCTGGCC